TGTGTGTGTGTGTGTGTGTGTGTGTGTGTGTGTGTGTGTGTGTGTGTGTGTGTGTGTGTGTGTGTGTGTGTGTGTGTGTGTGTGTGTGTGCGTGCGTGCGTGGTATGAGAATGCTAACAATACTATTTATGAAGCGGTGTGCTCCACTGGCCTCTGGTGTTGATGATCCCTTATTAATGTAATGCGCACGATCCCAATTAAAACCAAAGTCATTATATAAACCATCAAAGAAACTGTAGCTAAAGTAAAGACGACAGAGGAAAGATATCAGAGTCACTCCCACCCAGAAGTTACAGGAAGTCCCCTTCATTTGAGCCATGGAGTTGCCATGGGTGACCGTGATTATATGACAGATGTTGTATACACTTTCCTAAGAGCTAAACAAGGCAAGAGCTTCATGCAGAAATACACCCGTCCCATCACCCAGAATCCTGTTTGTTCCAGTGAAAGCTGGCGTAGGATATATATCATCTGCCCACATGTGTCTGAACGCTTGAATCTCCTGCTGCTTTTCAAGATGAATCTCCTAAAGCTGCTCTCATGATCATTCCCTTCAGAATAAAAAAACATGATCCTCAGGATGGAATAAACACAAGTATACCAATCCAGATTAAACCGTGTTACATGAGGTCACTTTGGGTAAACATGTTAACACTTGACACCATTTGGAATCAACTAGAACGTTTTTTGTATACATCAAACGGCTGTAAATAAAACAACTTGCTGACAGAACTCGGGTTTGTTGGCACGTCAACACGCCTGTTCTTGTACTCACGGTCGCTTGTGCCCTCGCGTTATACTCGGCCTCCATCTTAGCCAGCCGCAGGTTGGTGTCCTCCAGCAGCTCCTGGATGTTGTCAGTGTGTTTCTTCTGCAATTCAAACTTCTCCTGCTCCATCTGTGTCACAGCAGCATGCAGCTGGAAGGGCCCAGATTAAATGCACATCAGCCACAGATCTTTCTCCCTGGGATTACTTTGCGTTATTTATATTCATCATCTTCTCTTTCATAATTTCCCCTTTAAAAATCGTTTTCTTTGGGCATTGCTTATTCAAGGGGAATATACACCATTTATACGGCCAAGTAGTTTCTTTATTATTACATCTGAGACAAATTGCTGCTCGTCACATGCTCAGTCAACCTGAAGAGGTGAGTGGAAATTTCATTAGGATCTTATTGAGCTCTAACGGCTCCGTTAGCTAGAGCCATCAGGAGTGAAAACACAATTTACCCAGGGCAGAGAGCTTTAATTTTTCAGCACAAAAAAACAAACACACTTACTTAAGCACAGCATGAAAGAATAAAGATTTTTTTTCTAACAGTGCAGCAGAGCCTGACTGCTTCCAGCCAAGTCTGCTAGTCTCATGCTATCAAACGGTCTTCCTGTGGCTCAGGGCTGCTTACAGGGGGTTGGGCTGCAGAATAGCCAAACCCTTCAACTTCTCCCTCGTACCTTCTTCTCCCACTCGTTTTTCAGGGAGTCGCTGCTCTGATCCGACATGTTCTTCAGCTCAGCGATCTGCTTCTCCTTGCTCTCACAGATGACCTTGGATTCCCGCAGCACACTTTGAACTTTGGAGAAACACACACATCCCCACACACACACACACCCCCGAGAAACACACACACACACACACACACACACACACACACACACACACACACACACACACACACACACACACACACACACACACACACACACACACACACACACACACAAATTCTCATTGATATCAAAGTCAATAAAGATATCGCTTATAGCAAACGGCCATTAGCACTTCTCTTCTCCAAGTCTATATGTTTTTCTTCAAATGCTTTTAGAGATACACGAGGAGGCGAAGAGTAAAAGAGGAATATAGAATCAAGGTGGACATTGTGCAATTAAATTTAAGGTTGAGCAGCTGGAGAACATCACTCTACACGGTGCATTGAGCAGTGCATTGTATCTTTTCAGGCTTTTTACACTGAGTGTTCAGAGACACCAGTATAAACATCCTTCCAGTTAACCGTACACTCCTGCGACCCCTCACCTTTCTTCTCCAGTTTACGGATCATCTCCTCGGATTCCCTCTGCTTAGCCCGGTACATGCTCTTCGTCTCCTCAAGCTCACCATTCTTTCGGTCCAGGATCTAAAAAAGTGAAAGGAAGATTATTTTAACAGAAACTGGAGAATATTTAGCTTTTGTACTGCCGATTGTCTTTTTTCTTTGTACCAGTAGAGATTAAAGCTATACGCCAAAAATAAATATCAATTGACAGAAACCACTGCAAAATTATCAGTTTCTCTTGTTTTACTATTTAGGTATGTGTTTGAGTTAAATCAAAAAATATTTATGTTATTCTATAAACTGCTGACAACGTTTCTCTGTGTTGGAATGTAACAGACACTAGAATGTAATGGCTGCCATAAATGTAGAGATTTAAAAAAACATTTTGAGTGGTCTCTTCATTTTTTCCAGAGCTGCATATATCTTTTTTCAGGACATTATAAGAATGTTTGCTCGTGATTCATATTCCATTAAATTAAATAAGATTTCAATCATGAACAAAGACAAACAAAAATGAACACAACCACCAAATGTAAATAACAGTATAGAGTGCCACAGTGACACGTCCTAAAACCCGGAAGTAAGTTAGCATTTTACCACTTCCGGTTCCTTCCACAAAAACCAATGCAATTTCTCCATAGAATTTAGGAAAATAACTCGAAATAAGGTCTGTAGTTGACACAAATTAAAGAGACAGATCACGTTTTGTTCAACCGGATAATATCCACATGTCTACTTTTATCATCAGATAGATAGATTTATGATCCGAAAATTATAAAAGTAGGACGCGTCACTGTGGCACTCTATAGGAAACTGCAGTAACTCTTAAGGGTACCTTTTAAGCGTGAGAAATTCTGACAACTAGTAGCCATCTGTAGCACTGTCTTTACATGAGGGGCTCATCTCTGTTGGTACATATTCATGCTGGTGATTTCCTGGCAATGATGTTACATTTTAACACCGATTATAGGTAGGCGTTACACACCAGAAATGCAGGGCTGTGCCAACAAGGCAAGAAAGAAGAAGTCTGCTAGCAAGAGAACTAACATGTAAAAGATGGAGGATTCAGAATGTTAAAGAAAAATAAATACATTTGCTTATGTTTTGATGAAAGCTAGTTTGTTTGGCCTCAAGCAAATGAATAATGTTATTAAAAATACTGCATTTAAACAGAAACCTTTGTTTGTTTACTAGAAATCCCCTCAGAGAACCTATACACCGAGTAGCAGATCTATTAAAAATACACTAATATCACAACTACATAATACTAAATGCAAACAATCAATGTTAAAGGGTTATTTGCATCAGTAGTGTTTGTGAATACTGCAACAAACAGACCTTCTTCTAAATCATTATGATTTAACAAAAGCAAAATGTATATTGTAAATGTTATTTAAAGGGAAATGGGATATTTTATGTACATAATTAACCGCATGACCTGATACGACCTCATTACCCACATGCCTATTGAGGCATCAGGCTAACGGAGGGAAATGCCTTGCGAGTAAACCACCTGTGCTGAGGTGTGCTGGGTAACTGCATCTGCTCGCTGCTGCCATCTGTGAGCAATTAGTCAAATAAGGCCATGGAGAGTTGGAGCTGCAGTGTAAAAGGACAGGCTGGCACTCTCCATCAGGAGGAGGATGGTGTCTGGGCTCAACTTTATAATGTACATATACATATTTAGCATATTATGCAATTAGTCTGAGGGTGTGTCTACTGCCTGGTGTTTACAGGTTTTAAACAAATTCACGAGGGGACAGGAGTCCTTACTTGCATCTGCCGTAATTAGAAAGTTGGATTCTTGTCTTTTCCCTGTCCCTACACATTCTTCTGACCTCATAACATTTTCCACTGAGGTCAGGGAAAAATTGTTATAGATAAAACAATTTTTTAAAACTTTTTTTACTTCAGTGTAAATCTTTTTTTCAGCATAATTACCCCTGTTACGTTTTTGGTTCAGTTTGTTTAACTTTTAGCGGGAAAACTACTAATGCACCAAGGACAAACCCATTACATTTTGGAGCGGATCGTAATCACATAGCTGAGACACAATAATTATCACATTCTCGTAATTGTATTACCCGTCACAGTTAACAAGACAAAATAAAAAAGACCGGTCCAACAACAGTCTCATGCTCAGATTTTCTGTCAGTGAGAGTATTTATTTGCTCGTCAAAAACCGTCCCACAGCCCATAACACTTTATCTCTCCAGCACTTTGTTTGTTATCCAGGTGCACTTAGCTGCTAAGCCAGTCATCCCCTCTGTGTGAATGGGATGGGGGGAGATGAAAGGAGGTTGGGGGGGGGATGGAGCAAAGTTCACAGAACATTTAGGGATACCCAATTTTTTCCATTTCACCGGACCAGAGAGATTGTTGTCTTTTGAGGGGGCCAACCGAGCAAGGCAGTAACACAGTGTCAGTCCAGGGAGAGTGCACTATAAGGTGGGAAATGACAGCTTTTAGGGTGCTCATTTTAGGCTTTTATAAGACCCCCTAATGCAGAGGGGGATATCCAGTATGGCAGTCCATGACTTTAACTAATATCACCAGTGAATGGAGTGAACTGGAGCAAACACGCCTATTGTAGAAAACATGAAATAATATTAGTGTACTCTGTTCATATAGAGAAACAGAAACACTAATGTACTCCCAATGGAAGTTCAAACAAGACATTTTTTTATTCTGGTGTGGTATACTGTCTCAGAGGTTATCAAATATTTTTACAACTAAACACAGTACTAATCCACAACCACTGACATACAAAACTCCGGCCTGTTCTCTCATTAGTCTCTTCACAATGACCGGTGGCATTTTAGCAGGGTATGCATTATTCATAAAGAGACTAATTAAAGCTAAACCCAGCTTGCCCACCTTCCATCAGCCTCGTCATAGTGCACCCCCGAATCACTCCCCTTTGAAGCCATTACAGAGAATACCGGGTGCAATACTGAGGAAATTAAATCGGACATAACAAGCAATCTGTATGTAATTAAAGAAAGGGAGGGAGAGCGAGCTAACTGTCAGCCTGTCTCCTGTCAAGCACAAAGAAGCAATGGGCATCTTAAAGAGGACCGAAAATTGGAGTGTTTTTTCCCTTTTATTAAAAGCTTCTGTGGAAGCAAAGGAAAGTCATAGCGAGGATGTGACAGATCCCAGGTGCTTGATCTGAGGCAGATGATGGGCACCAAGTGTGAAACAAACCAGCTTCACCGCTATTTTCTTCGGCTGACAGAGAGCTTTGAAGAGGTGATTATTCGCGGTATGAGGAGGATGAGAAGAGGAGAGACTCGTTCCTTATTCTTTTCATGAGCCACCAAATGGAAATAAAAGTCAATGATGGGCATCGTAACGCAGATTAACTAGAATCCATGAACACTCAAGTCAACAGATTTGCCTGTCCAGTGTCCCCAGACGAAATTATAATATCATATATTTCTCAATATAATTGGAACTATGAGAGTTCTGCAAATAAATTAAAACCGATTCAAGTCTGGGCATGAACTTAAGAATGTATTATATTATAGGATCTTGGTTGTGTTTCGTAATAACACAGTTTAGTGAAATGCTAGGACATTGCGACTAACAAAAATCCTGAGTTAATGACATCAATATGCCTTTTCTCATATGCTACGAACTGGAGCCAAACATTAAATTGTGTTTTTGAAATGCTGGTGCTGGCAGAGTATTTACTCGCTTTCAGTTTCAATTCTTACTTTCTCAACATCTGCATCGTGTCTCTGCTGCATCTTCAGTTTCTCCTCCTGGTGCTTGGACTCCAGAACTTTGATCTTCATCTCGGTCTGGAAACACATTCGAAAACAAAATGTCATGAACTGTATTGACCAAACTGTTTTTATTTCCATATGTAAAATGAAGTTTGTAAGTAAAAAAAAAAAGAAGCTGCATCTGCTTTTGGGATGAAAGATTATTTATTACCCAGCAACACAAGTAGCAGGTTTTGTTTAACGGGAGATAAACATTCAGTGTCCTAATCTTTTTTTAGAGACATGCCTTAAAAAAACATCTCAGAGTGACAGGATAGCAGAGATAACATGAATCTGGATGAAAGAAGATACTGTGCGTCCCGTCTTGCACCCAAGCGCAGCTGATGATGAAATACACTACATTAACATTTAAAAATATTTATCCGTGTGCAGAGCTTCAAAAAACTCTGTGAAACTGAGATCTACTCAACTGTGTGTGTGTGTGTGCGTGCGTGCGTGCGTGTGTCTGTTAGCGATAAAATATGCAGTCACTCTATAGTAAGCACAACAAAGTGAAAGCCTGTGTGTACTACTGCAGTTAATCATGGAGAGAGTGGCTGTTTTCATTTGAACACAGTGTTTTCAGAGGATCAAAAGTTCAGCGTTGTCATGTGCATGTTAGAACAGATCCCCTAAAGCTAGACGGCTTCACCATCTCAGTCAAATAAACCCTAATACCCTCTTCTTCTATGGTTTTTATTAAACATAATAAGCTTTTAGTCATTTGTGGAGAAATCATTATCACACAATCTCTTTGCAATATATTCACAAATATATATAGGTCTTTGAAAGGCATTCACTTTGTCAGCAGAGACAATGATACTAAAAGACGCACTGGATTAGTGGAAGAGATCCTGTGAATATCATTACATTACATTTAGCTGACGCTTTTATCCAAAGTGCATTCGATCAAGAAAATACAAACTTGAAGAAAACAGAATCATATACCGTAATTTTCGGACTATAAGCCGCGCCTTTTTCCCTATTTTTCGACGCTGCGGTTTATATAACGGTGCGGCTAATCTATGGATTTTTACAGCTAACGGCCAACACCTTTAACTCTATGGGCTCTATGGCCGATCCGCGGACCCCCACCTTTAAGCGGCGGGTTCCAGCAGGAAAAGCTGGAGGCCGGAAAAGAGTGAGACAGGTAGCGCGCAAAAGTAAAAGTGGAACCGAGAGTGGTATGCCGCTGCTGCGGCTTATATTCAGGTGCGGCTTATAGTCCGAAAATTACGGTAAGTACATCAGGTTTCATAGAGCCAAAACATTTCAAGTGCTACTCAACTGGCTTTAGATAAGCCAGTCCTTTGTTAGAATATAAGTGCTTTGATAGTCATTTTTTTGTTCGAAGTGGAGTCGAAAGAGATGAGTTTTTTTGTAATATCAGTGAGTTAAGAGTCTTTGATGGAGGACAGCAGCCCTGTGAGGCTGTTACACATCTTCTATTCCACTCAGAACCTTACTCCTAGTGGGGCAGAAAAGCAAACCTTTACCTGAGGGTGTTCCACAACAAAAAAAGAGTGTGTTTAATGTATGATACAAGGAGTTTATCCTTTGAGATGTTTGAGTGGTAGCTGTCATTCTCTGGACTGCGGATGGTGCTAGAGTGACTGTAGCATATCAGTCTCTGACAGTGACAAAAATAAAATAGTCTTGGCTGAATATCTTTAACATAATCAAAACGCATCTTTAAAAAAAAAAACGGCTTTCATGTGTCGTTTACAATATGCATATGTTTAGTCCTGCTTATTTGACACAGCTATATTTCAAATTAACTGTATTTTATTGTTATCATGTGTTCCTTTTTATATCACATTTCCTTTCTAAAATATGATGTTTCTCGGCCTAGTTTCTAGTTTGTTTGTTTTTTTCCTATGACACACAAGATGTCTCGAGTCACAAACACGCAACACATGACAGAAATATGACTGGCCATTGGCTTTGATGTCACTACTCATGTTTAGTCACTGTCTGTGCTGGCGTGTTAATCAACCCTGGAGCGCAGAGACAATATTCTCCCCTTGAAAGTGTGGTTGTGTGTGTGAACATGTCAATGGTTAACAACATCCTGAGGCTAGCTTTTGTTTGTTCTAGTCATCAAAACAATTAAGTAGAAAATCCCCACGACACAGTCTAACCACATTAGACCTTCTGTTGGTAAAAATCAAAGGGAAGCAGATGTCCCGACTAAAAATATGATTCAATTAAAGTATGGTAAAGTGTGTACATATTGATACAACACAATTCTCACGTTAACATCACACTGGTTGTTAGATACAAATATGTATGTACGTACGTACGCGTCGAAATGGTAGAATCTATAAAACCCAAATAGATTGGCTTTGTCAACATGTAAGTACTTCATTTTTGATGATCTTCACAAGTGTAAATAAATAAACTACTGTAAGACACATAAGGTTGCCTTCTAGATGTCTCTCCTTGTTATTGCACTTGAGCAACCTTTATACACTGAAGCCTTGACAAAGCTCTGTTAAATGTTCTCTCTTTGTTCTGTGTCTGTTTTCTTGATTTTCCACCATTTCTTGTGCAATTGAGGGGACCACAGGAGACCTGTCAGAGTAAAAAGGAAAATGCAAGAGAAAGAGAGAAGGAGAGAGATGGCAGTGATTGAAAAGCAGAACATTAAGTAGAGACCTGATTCTGCCGGCGCCCCAAAAAAACAAAAAAAAAACACATGTGGGGGTGTCACTTTCTCATCATCTCTTCAAATGCTCTTTGGAGAAAGTTTGTCAAACTAGATCAGGGGCGTTTGAAACTTGTTTATAAAGTCGTCAGTGAAGGAAGGAGGAGGAGGAATGTCGTACACCTAAGGCGTCTGAGGTGCCTTCAATCAGCCCGACTGGATGGTACAGCTTTTTTACCGCTTCTGTTCTTCAGAGTTGTTGCGAGCGCTGTAAGATGCCATGTTTTTTGACAATCCGCTCTTGAAAGGATAGGAGGGTGGGAGGGAAGAACTGGGGGGTAGTGGTGGTGGCGGCGGGGCCATATGAGCGAGGGAATGTGAGGAGAAGATGGAAACAGTTGCTTTCTCTGCTCTCAAAACCATCGCGGGGTTCATGGCCTTCTTCCTCAGAGGGATGTGTTCACAAATCGTCTGCTAACTGTTTGTGCTCCTCAAAGCAAGGTTGCGTTTGTGCATCTCCTTCGTCTTGCCTGCAATGTACAATGTCCTGGTGCGTCTTTCATCCTCAGTAAACACAGATGCTCAAGGATAGTCGGTATGCAGCGTTCGCTATCTCCTGAGGAGCAGCTAGATGTCATTTCCACACTGACAGGAAGTTTATTCACTGTCCAGATAGTAAGGTTGGCTAGAAACGTTGGCTCCCATCGAATGTGAAAATAATCACCCCCAAAGATTTGGAGAAGGGGTAAGTAAACAGATTATTACCCGAAATTGCTGATATAAATACATCAAGTACGTAAGAATCAAATACAGAGGACAGAAATAGTAACTTTATCTTCTTCGGAACCCAGTTGGTCCCTTGTGATTCTCAGCCTGGAGCACTCTGAAGAACTGGTCCCCTTTAAACTACTAAGGCTCACTAGCTTTGCTCTTTTTTAGCTTTGAAAAGCGTTCAGATAAGAAAGGCTATGGCCCACTAAATCACAGGCTGAGCGCTCAAGCTCCATCCCAGAGGATTCTTAGATTAAAGAGACTGTATCATTATGGCAACGGGGAGCAAAGGGGTCTGATCCCTAGTCTTGGGCTTGTGACCATTAGAGTGCGACTGCTTGACACGAAGACATTCATCTAGTGTACTGCGCCTTCTGCCAACAATCCCTGAGGTCAGGTACCAAGGGGTTAGTTTAGAAAACAGTATGCAAAGGCGCAAATGCAAACTTTAAAAGAAAGATGGGCCGCCTTGATCAGTCAGTATCTCCTCCAGTAATAACAACTTGGGCCTACGGCTATGTATGACTCATCAGCCGCTGTTTAATTGATTTTCCAAATAAAGACTCGTAATGCTGAGAACTTCTAGGGTGTGCTTAAGGATTAGCAGGACTTATTGCTCATGCCAGACACTTTCCACAAGTCTTTCATAAGCAAAAACACTGCAAGTGACTCAAAGCAATGTCTGCTTGCGGTGAAGTTTGTCAGCTGCCCCTCATTGTACCGTAGGAAAAAGCAGTCAGCATTCTTATCAATGCGGTCGTTAGCTTAGCAGGAGGATGAGTTTGGTGTGAAAGCCGAGATGTTTGTTGAGCTGCTGCCAGCTTAATGACATGTGGCATGTATAACGTTTTAAACCTGGGTACATTTTCAACTAGGCTTTCGGGATTAAAGGGAAGTGATGTCACTGTGATTTTCTAGTCTGGGCCTAGACAGCCACGCAATGGTAGGGTTGGACATGGTTCTGCAGGAAAGCTTAACGCGGCTGGTGAGGATGATATGGTTAAGGGTGGTATTGGTGACTCAAGACACTTCTATAGAAAAATACTGTGCGTGTATGTGTGTGGTAACAGCTGTATCCTGTGGGGGTTCAGAGTTCCTGAAATCCTCCTAACACTCTTGTAATTGCTTATGGTGACACACGACACATGATCACTCGGGGCATCTTAAATAATAAAAACTAAAAGAAAAGGGGCTTTACCGTCGCATGACATTAACCACAGACATATTATGATTCCCCCTTTTTAGGGCAGATGGTAAAGGCAAAAGGGAATTCCCAGAACTTCACAATGAGAATGGAAGTGGAGATGCATTGCTCAATGTAATGTTCTGCATGTGGCTGATGGGAGTGTCCTTGGATGTGCAGGTCATTAGCAAATAGACAGCTTGAAATGTTGACCCGATGATGGCTGTAGATGAAACGTTAGCCGTCACGATGGGGATTACAATTCTTCCAAAGGGAAAAACGCATGTGTTTAGCAAACATGTTATCAGACATTGTATTACAAAATACCAATGTCAATCTCCATGATGGAAAAGTCTGGGATCATAAAAAACATTCCCTGGCATCACTCTTAAGTTATTCAATGTGTTGTTTGGGACCAAACATCTGTCCAACATTGCCATAGATTTGATACAGGGGCTATTAGCACACACGTAAGAATCATCGGGAATAAAAACCTTAGCGTGGCAATATTACCTCTCATTTCCCAAAGGATTTGTTTGAGGAATTCCTGAACTGGGTCCCATATTGAGAGCATTCTGGCCTCAGCGGCACTGACAGACCAGTTTTCTATAGCCTCTCCCTAACAATGTTATTCTCTCATTCAAGAGCACCTACATATAAACTGGATCAAATTACCTTTTTTTTCTTTCAACGATTCATACTTCTGATATACAACTGGGGGACATAGTTTTAATTCTCAAATGTGAAAATACCATTAGGACAAAAATGTCCATAGAGTTTAATCAATAAACATCCAACCCTCTTATGAGCTACACTCAGTTTACTGCAGGCTCCCTACACTGATTTACCTTAGAAACCGGTAACTCTGTGTATAATAAAGTAAGATTGATGTGGAGGACAAATATGGTCTTTCTGAAATGTGATACATTTATATTCCCACCACACACAGCCGTCTGAGTCAGGATCAAACAGCATCATGGTACGTTGCTTTAATGTTTTTCGTATTGGTGTTGCTACATTAAATATCAACCCACAGGTAGACAGACTGACTGACGTGTATGTGTGTCTCTACATGTAAATCACAAACACATCTCTGTTATGACAGAGAGGTCAATAAGCATATTGTGCATTGCTTCATACTCTTTCCCTTTCTTTCTGTCCTTTCTCCCTCCATTCTCCACCCTCTCCGGGTGAAGCTAACTGACTTGAGCGTTTTTCCCTAAGCAGACATGAAAAGCTCACGGCTATTACAGCCAAGTCATGCTCAGTTTTATATTTAACAGTGCGGGTAAAGGCCTATGGTGGGGGGGCTGAGTGGTAGTTCAGGAGAGGTGGGGAGGAGCAGAGGGGACTTCAAAGCATGCTTTCAGAATGGGATTTTCAGCTTAAATCCACATAAGAAAAAAGCTGTCATCACTGGGAGCCGGCATTATTTTTGTCTTCTAAGAGGAACCCTTGCCTCTGCCATTTCAACAATACAAACGATGTACAAAGAAGTATGTACATGGCTGTGGGGGCCATAAAGCAGTCAATGGAGCTATAACTTCTGTACACGTTCAACACTTGCTTCTATATAAATGCTCAGCATACTGAATAGTGAGTAGCAAGGGTTTGGGCTTACTGGAAATGACAGTCTCAAAAATATCACGTACTGTAGCGTATACCTCCTTGCTCTGTGCAAACTGTGGGCCCTGATCCTCGGCCAAGGTGCTGTTCCTCCCAAAGCTTGGCTTGGAAATCTACAGAGATAAAGAGCTAGATTAGGTGATGAGGAGATCAAAGACAGCACTTTCACCTACTCCACATTAAAAACAACCAAAAGACACCCTTTTGCAACTCACCGGAGACAAGGGACTGGGGTTCTCTCGCAAATAACGAGGGTTTTCAACCTGAAAGTAAATAGAAAAACGTTCAAATGACTTCCAGAATCTGAGCTCAGCCCCTTCGTTTGTTATAAACAATACTGGGAATACATCAAAAGCTCAGGGCTGTGGCTGCAGTCTTTTCCGTCAACTCTTGTCTGTTTAAAAAGACAGAATGCGTCGGGGAACTTCAAGGCATGTTGTGTGTGGCCGGCTCTGTTTCCGCTCTCAGCCCCTCTTTGCTGTCGCAACGTGGACCTTTGTCAACACTCAGCGCCACGAATCTGTAAGCTATCCCCGGTCCGTTTACCTTCATATGGAGACAAATGTGTATACATCCATGCCAAACACTGACATGCCATATCCTTTGATTATAATATGAAACACAAGACACACAAAAAGGAACTGCGCAACCACCTGAACGCAAACTGTGCAGCATTACATCAATAGGGCTCACTAAATGTGACACAAACATCTCTGTGTTGACAACCTGCTATTTTCCTTCCACTATTTGCATTTGTTTATGACCCCATTATTTTTCTTGTGAACTTACACCATCATTCAGTGTTTCTCTGTCATGCACTGAGGCTGTCTACAGGGGCTGCTAACTAGCGGCAAGATCACGGCCTTTCAAAGCAGTGGGGCTGACTTTAGAGATGACAAGCAGAGACGCCTGGTAAACAGTTCTGTTGCTAAGCTCTTTTCTTCAACGTGGGGATGGAGGAAGAGAACAAGGAGGAAGAGGAGAGTAGTGTGGGATCCATTCAGTCGTGTAAAAAAAAAAAGGATCAAATGTTGTTCAACCCACACAAAGCCAATGGAGAATGAATGGAAGATGAGAGAGCAGAGCCTAAAAGCTTGGGACTAAAATAGTTACAGCTAATGTACAAGGATAAAGTCACAATCTGTTGCTTCAGGGTGAGCCAGTGACAGGTGGAGTAGATGAAAGCAGCTATGCCTCCGACTTAGCCGTGATGCAGGTAAAAGCAGGTCGGACATTTTGTTAGCTGACATACAGTAAGCTCTCAACAAAAGGAGACATCAGGCTTAACTCCAATCAGATTTACTGTAATACATGCACAGAGAGAGACGTGCACAAGAACAGACGAGTCAAGATAGTGTGCACAGAGCAGCATCAATGTGCAGGTCATAATGTTTGATGAATTGCTATTTAATTTTATGCACTGGCAAAGAAAGAAATCCATATTTACCAAGTGATGAATCAATCAATATCCGTCTAAACTAGAGCCCAGGCTGAAAACTAGAATGGGATTTATTTTTATACCCACAGACAGCCAGTCAGCACATTTGATTGAGCACGGCCCACAGGGCGACATGTAGACTAAATGCTGCGGTGTAATGTTGGCACAGTGCGATACTAAACTTGGATTTGGTGCACACGTATGCCTGCCTGTGTGCACACTCTTATTCTGCGTGCGCCTGTGTGCAGCTGGCACAGCGCTCTGTGTCATTGGAACCTGACGTGGATGGATGGACCACGCAGACCGGCGAACATCACAAGGCCTGGCTCCGCAGCCAAATAAAAACACCCAGTGATTGATGGCTTTCTACTTTCTGACTAGCGGTCAACTGTCCATTTAACCGCAGAAAATGGACTAGCATTGAATTGTGTATGAAAGAACAGGTCAAGCTTTTACACAATTTGATTGGCATGCGTTTGTGTTCTTCACCGCAGATCAGTGTATGCTGCACCCAACTCTACTGTTACTCCCAATGGAGATTCAACTCATGAGCCACTGGAGAAAGAAGCAGATGGAGGTCCAGCTGACTCAGGTTTTGTGTCCCTTAAAGGAACTCCTATCAGAGTCTGATGCAATCTGTTGACTACTGTCCAGTATGGCCACCATGCTGAGAACACACATTATGTCATTCGAGGTGAAATGAACAAACCGATATGGACTGCTTCAGAACATCTAAAGCTAAAGATGTTCCAGATAGAGTGACGCTTGGCTGTGCGGACATTTTCCTCGGAACTTGGGGCTTTGAAGCAGTGCATCTATAACACTTCTGTAAACTTAAAGGGGGTTTGTGTGTGTGTGTGTTTGGGGAGGAACATCTGTTGATTTGAAAGATGCAGGCTTGGGGGAGCGTTGCCAAGCAATGCCTCTTATCAGCATCTCAACACAGACGAGTGCAGAGCCTCACGTCTGCTGATGGATACCTCAGATTACCCTGGTGTTGAGAAAGACAGGAACATGGAGAGAGTCGGGGGGAAACGAAGATGTAAAAGGCTGAAGGTGAAATCGCGAGGCAGAGGGAAAGAAAGGATTTTTTGAAGAGAGAGAAGCCGTTTTGAAAGCAGGAGAAAACATGGCTGTGTGTGAGTGATGCGGGGGAGAGGACGATGGAGACTCTGGGTCATGCTGGTGAGGAGATAGGGAAAAAATAAGGGAATAAGAAGACATGAGGGCAGAGTGCTTATCAAGCGCTGGACTGGTGCACTCCAGGCAGATCAGATAAGAGAGACGCACAAATCTTCAAATGCTCAGTTTACTCAACGCTTCTTCACTGTCACGTCCTACAATCACATTAGAAGGAAGTGGTTTCAGGAAGGGATGGGCAATATAGCGATATTATATACAATGTTTCCCTTACCATTGTCTTGGAGGGGCCAACAGAGCCCCGCACCCCCCCCTGAAATTCAACGTGTTTTTAAAAAAAAGAAATTATAATTTTCTTTTTTTTTATAATCTTTTTTTGAAAATATATATATATATACATACATAGCACCAAATTGCAACTAATCTATATCTACCGTCACTTTTCACATTGAACATGTGCTCTTTTATTAAATAAACTATACGCTTTCATTTTACGTTGTGAGCTGGAGTGTTTTTGACCCTAAGAAACACTGATGCCTTAATCAATAACAATAATCCACAGCTCCTCTCTCTGCTCCAGAGGATTTAAAAAAATATATATATCCCAATGCCAACCCCCCCCCCGGTGCTCAGGCAGCAACCCCCAAAACAGTAAACCTAGGGGAGACACTGTAATATAAATATCTTTATATGAGTCTTACCTTTAGGATAGGATAACATCCTTTCCTGGTTTTAAAGGATGCATTACAGTAAAGTGAGGTTATTTGCTTAGCCTCAGCCGTTACGTCCACTCATATGGATGATTTTCAGATATATCAATGTGTACATTTGTGGAATCAACTATTGGCAACCCTACAATCTCCTCGCAATATCGATATGGGGATGTTTGATCAGGAATATCACGATATTTGATTTTTTTTCTTTCCATATCGCCCAGCTCTACAATCACGAGGACATTGTTGAAAGCGTTTAACAGCCTTTGTCGGACAGTGTGGAAGCAATCAATCAGCGTCATTGCCCTATTGATTTAAATGTGTTTGAGCTCGGGTGATCAGATTCACTGTCACTGTGCGTGAGCTACAGCTTAAAGACAACTGCATGTACCCAAGCAGCTGAAGGCATGCCCCTGGACTCACCCCCAGGTTCCAGCTGTTGAGACGAGCCTCCAGGTCGCTGTCATCGGGAGACGTGTCTGCCTTCAGCCCCACATCCACCTGTGGAGGGGGGAAAAGTGAGAGTGCGTAAACAAATGAGAGGAGGGAATTAAAACCATTTCTTTGACTGGCAGTTTAGCCTAAGGAAGGGAGTAACACAGGGGTTATCATTTTGACATTATTCCTCTCTTGGCAACAATAAAAAGGTTCTTTAAAAGCTTATAGATATACAGTACACCCACACGTGTTCTCCTCCCACACTAACAGCTTTTCACTCCCTCGTTATCTCCATCCCTCCACCCTTTGCTCCCTCACTCCCTCACATACAGCACTCCAGATGTTTGGCAGCTCCACATCATCATTTCCATCACGCTGTAAATTCCACGAGAGGGGCATATGCAGCTAAACTGTCTGTCATCCGTACGTTTCCCCAGCCTTTCGTTACGACGGGCCTCCGGATTTGTTCTATACAGTATAATTTGAACGCTTCCAGGGGTTTCTGTTGATTCAAGATCAGTTTACTCAAGTCAAGGTTGGGCAGCGAGGTAGACATGGGGGGAAATATCTTATAAAGTTGAGGCAGCGATAGGGTAAGGAGAGATGTTGTTGGATTTGATTAGGATCTTGTGGAGTGTGGACCTTGGGTGTACCTCAGCGGAACTGCACTGACAGAGAAATGGCTGAATGAAAAGGATTAAATGCCCCTTCGGATTAAAAAGGCATTAAGGTCCCAGAGCCTCACCCTCAAACAAACACAGTAAATGTTTCATATCGATATCTAGGAATGCTGAGTATGTGGGTCACCGGCTGTTCAAAGTAGCGTGTCACAGTCTCTGTATCGCACCAGGAATTCAACACTGTTAAGTATAAATGGGCTCCAATGGTTTTTGCCAGATGTACTCACTGGTAGCAGTTGTGACATTGAACTGTTTGATGGCTTTTACTTTGAACACGTAGAGTGGACTCATTATGGTTTGATGACACATTAAAGGCCATGAAAAATTATTTCTCAATCAGTTTCTTACAATTTGCAGGTTTCATCTACTTACATTTTTAACTTAAATACACTTATTTTGCCAGATCCTCGCTTAAACTAATGCAGTCTAACACAACAGCACCATCTGCAATCCTACCTTCATGAAGAGTCAGTTTTAATTGAGTAAAAAAACAAGAACCACTTGTTGAGTTCATGTAGGCCTTCAGCAGCACTTACGTATGATCCTGCTTGAAGTGAATATATCTGCACTTTCCTTGTTGTTCGGAGTTTGATTCTTTATGGTTTTCGCACTTATAAGTTGCTTTGGATAAAAGCATCAGCTAAATTATATGTAAAAGAAATCCCTAAATATTTGAAGGATGCAGTTGAATTAGTAGAAGGCTGTTGAATCGTGTTCTGTTACGATGAGAGTTATCCAGATTTGGGTCCAACCTACTCATACGAACATTGTAGATACAAACTAAGGGAAACAACTCTCAGTGTAACTCAGAGGTAAGTTTCAGTAGGGTGCATCAAAAATCTGTTTGACTGCCAAATGTATTGTGATCACAACCATTAGCTCCATTTCTGTTGCTTGAACCAGCAACTTATAACTTCAGGGAATTTCCTCCAGCTTCATGGGGATATGAGTTTAGGAATTTCCAAATTGGTCCACATTAAAGAAGAAAGCAAATCATCGCAGCTACTATTTGTATTGGCACCAGCGGGTTCGCAGTAATATTTCAATGTGTCATCTAATGGCAGGGAAGTCCAGAGGTGTGTCTGAACCACGGTGATGTGCTGCTCACCCTGCGGGCATCGTGTCTGGGAGACTGTTTGAGTGGACTGGAAGACACAGGTCGTGGTGGGTTCTGTTCCTCGTACAGCCTTCTCCTGGAAGAGAGAGAGAAATAGGAAGAACTGTAAGATGCTAACCTACAGCATAGTATGTGTGTGTGTCTGTGGAGTCTGTTTTGGTCCCTATTTTTGCATATGAATGTGCTTGCGTCGGCAGCCTGCCTCGCTATTTACACAGATCAACATCTGGCAGTGGTTGCATGGTTTGTGGTCTGCATTTCATCCCATCCGAACAATAAACGTCTCTGCTATACATCACTTTGTTTCCACGGACAGCCCGCAGGGCACCAGTGTTTGGCTGGTCCAATCCTTTTATAAATTGTACACCTCAATCATTGTCTCTCATCATGTCCATCACGGTGTTAAGAAGATTAACAAGGAAACAGCTTTTATTCATTGGCACACAAACAGATCCCCTTCTCACTGGCTCTCCCTCTCCCTCTCACACACACACACATAACTGAGCCTACTAGTATCTCATTAAGCACAGGCGCATGAGGCACTAATGGCCTGTTAATGCTAATTGGATGAAGATGTGAAAGGAGACGGGAAGATGTAGGACAATAATGAATGGGAAAAAAATTCTGTCATCTAATAGAGACATCACATTGCGTTCTAGAGGGCACTGTTTCACACCCAATGTGCAGCCTATGGGCGCTCTTTTTCTCCCATGTAATCTATTTAAGTATTCCTGGCATTGAGCATTTGAACCTCATTTGTCACAGAAGGTGTTATCTCGTGGAGGAGAGCACCATCGCTGTGAGCTTTCTGGAAAGACTGCTGAATATAGAACAGGAGGGATATCTGTGCGAGCACCTTTGTAATTTGTACCTCAAATCCTCCAACCCATGGAATATGCATACAATTCACAATGTCATATTACTACTAGACACTGTTTGTTGAGGAAATAAAGTTAATGTTTTCCCAGTTTATATAGGTATACTAACTTGTAGCTATTCCACAGCACAGACTTAAAGGTCACTTATTATTCAAAATCAACTTTTTCACGTGTTTAATTGTTTAATACATAAATGTGTGTCCCCTTTTTGTGGGGATTCGGAAGGTTTCAGGAAAAGGATTATTCCTCTTTTTGTCCTGATGGATATATATAAAAACCTGTCTGAAAATGAGCTGAATAGATTTGGTGACTTTGTGATGTCACAACAGTTCTATGGGTTGTGTAACCATTAGCCAATAAACATAATATCATAAGATTTGTTCTAATCTAAATGACAGATCCTGATCAAACTAAACTGTACTTATCTGAACAGTATCTCTGTCACATAATAACGTTTTACTGTAAGTGAACTCACAAAATTGGATTTTGTTAAACAGGGTTACGGTAAACAGGATTCAAATGTAAAAATAATAATATGCCTCTGTTTATGTCCTCATGTGGCAACTCGATGTTCATTGGCACACAGTATGTAAAGTTTTAAAAATAATATTTCATAAATTGCGTATAGATTGCTACAAATGAAATGACATTGCTAGGCAACAGCTGTCTACTTCCTGTCAGCGGGTGTCATTCAGTTGCACTGCAACATGAAATAAGCTGGGACAGATTTAGAATGTCTATATCTATGAAATGCTCTATACTAAATGGTCTATACACTGACCTTATACTTATATACACATAATACATCTAAAGGACAGATTTCCTTGAATGTAATCTGAAAATGATCACTGGAAAAGAGCAGTACAATGCTTTTGCAATAATACTGTTAAGGGTTGAATAATGAATCACTTATTATAATGAATTATGATCAAAACTTTCAAAAAACACACACACACACACACACACACACACACACACACACACACACACACACACACACACACACACACACACACACACACACACACACACACACACACC